GCTTTTCCCAGGCTGCCCCACATCTCAGAGGGGCAGGAGAAGCCCCCCCAGCTCACCGTCTTGGGCGGGAGGGGGAGACCTGTTGGCCCCGGCATGGGGTTGACCTGGTGACCTCACCATGGGGCAGACCCATTGTCCCGGCTGTGAGGGAGACCCTACTGCAGGTAGACCTGGTGACCCCACCGTGGGGCAGATCTGATGGCCCCACCTTGGGATAGACAGCCATGGGGCAGACCTGGTGACCCCACTGCAGGTAGACCTGGTGACCCCGCCGTGGGGCAAACCCGTTGTCCCAGCCATGAGGGAGACCCATTGACCCTACTGCAGGTAGATCTGGTGACCTCACCATGGGGCAGACCTGGTGACCCCACCTTGGGGCAGATCTGATGGTCCCACCTTGGGGTAGACCACCATGGGGCAGACCTGTTCACCCCACTGCAGGTAGACCTGGTGACCCCACCGTGGGGCAGATCTGATGGTCCCACCACAGAGTAGACCCCCATGAATTAGACCTGTTGGCCCCACTGCAGGTAGACCTGGTGACCCCGCCGTGGGGCAGACCTGTTGGCCCCACAATGAGGTAGACCTGGTGACCCTACTGTAGGTAGACCTGGTGACCTCCCCACGGGGCAGACCTGGTGACCCCACCGTGGGGCAGATCTGATGGCCCCACCTTGGGGTAGACTGCCATGGGGCAGACCTGTTCACCCCACTGCAGGTAGACCTGGTGACCTCACCATGGGGCAGATGTGTTGACCCCACTGCAGTGGGGTAAATCTGGAGGTTCTTTCACCTCTTCCCTGGCGATGAGGACCATCCACCCACGAGAAGAAGTCACCCACCAGAGACCAAATTTCGGGGGGGGGCGGAATTTTTCCCCCTCCGTGGGGGTCACCGTGGTCCCATCTTGGTTGGGGGACGGGGGTGTGGGACAGAGAGGCGGTGGCAGCCGCGGGCGTGGCACGGCGTGGGGCGCAGGAGGCGGCGGAAGGGTTGGTGGACCTCCAAACCCCCTTCCCCTTCGGCCGGTGGAAGAGAGGAGACGTTGGTGAGGTCACAGCGGCACGTGTTGTCCCCCGTGGCCTCGGCGGGGCAGGGAACGACGCCGGTCACCTTGCGTAAGGTGTCACCCTCCCTCTTTCCTTCTCCTCCCCCTCCCTCTCCCCCCTCCACCCCACGGCGCGTTGGAGGGTGTGGACCTCGTCTGGCCGCCGCGGTGGGGCAAGAAGTTTTGGGTCAAGGCCAAATCTCCGCGGGAGGTTGGAGAAGGCGACGGCTTGCCATTGGCCAACGGTGACCACGGGTGACATCCAGCTCTTCGCTCAGTACTTCCCGGGGAGGTTCAACCACCTCTCAGGAGCTCCAGAAGGAGATTGGACTTGGAGGGTTCCGTGTCGGTGGCCAGTTGGTCCTGGTGGGTTGCCACATTGGGTTCCGGCACAGGTAACTCCATCAGCCACGGAGGGTTGGTCAAGGTGGCTCTTGGGTTCTCATCAACGTGTCCACGGTGGTCTGGTGAACATGTCCATGGGGGTCTGGTCAACGTGACCACTGAGGTCTGATCAATGTGACCGTGGAGGTCTGGTCAACGTGTTCATGGAGGTCTGGTCAACGTGACCATGGAGGTCTGGTCAACATGACCACGGACGTCTGGTGAACATGTCCATGGAGGTCTGGTGAACGTGACCGTGGAGGTCTGGTGAATATGTTCATGGTAATCTGGTCAACGTGACCACGGAGGTCTGATCAACGTGACCATGGAGGTCTGGTCAGTGTGTCCGTGGAGGTCTGGTCAATGTGACCACGACGGTCTGGTGAATGTGTTCATGGAGATCTGGTCAACGTGTCCACGGAGGTCTGATCGATGTGACCACAGAAGTCTGGTGAACGTGTCCACGGAGGTCTGGTCAACATGTTCATGGACATCTGGTCAACGTGTTCATGGAGGTTTGGTCAACGTGTCCATGATGGTCTGGTCAATGTGTTTCTTGAGGTCTACTAAACATGTCCACGGAGGTCTGGCCAATGTGACTGTGGAGGTCTGGTCAACATGTCCACGGAGGTCTAATCAACGTGTCCACGGGGATCTACCAACATGTTCATGAAGGCACGCTCAAGGCATCTATTGAGGGTCTACCTAACGTGTCCATGGAGGTCTAAGGAGGTCCACTCCCTGCGCCCGTGGAGGGTCGGTTGTCACATCGTTGGGGTCCCCACAAGAAGGCTTTGGAGGTCGGGTCAATGCAGCCCATGGGGACAACTCAAGATGTTCCCAGAGACACAGATGACCCGGCCAGTTCCGTGGGGGTCCAGGAAGTCACCGTCCCCGTGGCGGTGACACCAAACCACTCCAGGAACAGCTGGAACGTGGCCGCTGCCACCGCAGCCAAGAAACCGCCACCGCTGGCACCCGTCGCCACCGCTCCCGTGTCACCCGTGTCCCCTGAGCCACCCCCTGGGTCACCTAGGGCATCGCCACCCACGGGTGCTACCAACCCATGCGTCACCCAGGGCCACCCCCCAGGGTCACCTAGGGCACCACCACCACCACCACCACCACCACCCCTCTTTGTGTCACCCAGGGCACTGCCACCCACGGGTGCTGCCACCCTGTGTGTCAACCAGGGCCACCTACCGTGTCACCTAAGGCACTGCCAGCTCTCGTGTCACCCGGGGCCACCCTGGACACAGCGCTCTCAGGGCCGTGAGGACATCTGGGAGGGGACTGGGAACAGGGATGATGGTGGTGGTGGTGGTGGTGGGGTGGCACGTCCCCTCCCTGTCACTGTAAGCTGGGGGGGACCCCGTGTCCCTGTGTCCCCTCATGTCCCCTCACGTGCTCTCCTGTCCCCTCAAGTGCTCCTCTGTCCCCTCATGTCCCCCCATGTGTCCCCTCATGTTCCCTCATGGTCTCCTGTGCCCCCTCATGACCCTCCATGTGCCCTCATGTCCCTTCATGGTCCCTCATGTCCCCTCATGTCCCCCCATGTGTCCCCTCATGTCCCCTCATGGTCTCCCATGTCCCCTCATGACCCTCCATGTGCCCTCATGTCCCTTCATGGTCCCTCATGTCCCCTCATGTCCCCCCATGTGTCCCCTCATGTCCCCTCATGGTCTCCCGTGTCCCCTCATGACCCTCCATGTGCCCTCATGTCCCTTCATGGTCCCTCATGTCCCCTCATGTCCCCCCATGTGTCCCCTCATGTCCCTTCATGGTCCCTCATGTCCCCTCATGTCCCCCCATGTGTCCCCTCATGTCCCCTCATGGTCTCCCATGTCCCCTCATGACCCTCCATGTGCCCTCATGTCCCTTCATGGTCCCTCATGTCCCCTCATGTCCCCCCATGTGTCCCCTCATGTTCCCTCATGGTCTCCCGTGTCCCCTCATGACCCTCCATGTGCCCTCATGTCCCTTCATGGTCCCTCATGTCCCCCCCACCCCGTGTCCCTGTGTCCCCTCATGTCCCCTCACGTGCTCTCCTGTCCCCTCAAGTGCTCCTCTGTCCCCTCATGTCCCCCCATGTGTCCCCTCATGTCCCTTCATGGTCCCTCATGTCCCCCCCACCCCGTGTCCCTGTGTCCCCTCATGTCCCCTCATGGTCTCCCATGTCCCCTCATGACCCTCCATGTGCCCTCATGTCCTTTCATGGTCCCTCATGTCCCCTCCACCCCGTGTCCCTGTGTCCCCTCATGTCCCCTCACGTGCTCTCCTGTCCCCTCAAGTGCTCCTCTGTCCCCTCATGTCCCCCCCATGTGTCCCCTCATGTTCTCCCATGTCCCCTCATGACCCTCCATGTGCCCTCATGTCCTTTCATGGTCCCTCATGTCCCCTCCCTGTCACCCCATGTCCCCTCATGTCCCCTCCTTGTGTCTCTGTGTCCCCTCATGTCCCTTCATGGTCCCTCATGTCCCCTCATGTCCCCCCATGTGTCCCCTCATGTCCCCTCATGGTCTCCCGTGTCCCCTCATGACCCTCCATGTGCCCTCATGTCCCTTCATGGTCCCTCATGTCCCCTCATGTCCCCCCATGTGTCCCCTCATGT